ACCGGGAGGGTATAATAGACTGGGATCTATTCCCACCAATGGGGGGGAAGCCCCACCCCCGAGGCCTGACCCGCCCTGGGCAGGGCACACCCACAGCCGCTGGCACAGCGGCCAGGGCAGGAAGAGGAGTTTGCACCTCCAGACCCGCAGCTCCCAACCCAGAACTCCACTCAGGCAAGTCTATGGGGCTCCCAAGTCTGAGCGGTGCCCTGAGGTGTGCCCAGCGTTCCCGGGGGGGTCACCCAGGAACTGCATCCAGCCTCCCGCCCCCACCCTGGCTCTCTCCTGCGCCCGCTGCCTCTCCAGGCAGGAGGCTGGGAAGGGCAGGAGCCGGCTGGGTTTGGGGTGGGTCAGTCCTGCTGGGGGAGCTGGTGCCCGGGCACAAATGGGGGCCATTCGCATCAGAGGCTAATGAGCACCTCGGGCTGGGGGGTGCAGTTCTGTTCTGTGGGGCCCTGGGCACCCCCTAGAGGCAGGACTTGTGGAGCTGGGGAGGGGGGTGCTCCAGGTGGGTGATGGTGCAGCTTGGGGGGCCGGAGGCACGGTGGCTGGGGGTGTGTGATGTTGTGATGGGAAGGCAGGTGGGTGATGCTCTGGCAGAGGAGAGGGTTGCTGTGGCGGGGGGGGGGCAGTCAGGTGACATAGGGGCTGGGGGGTGACCCTCTGGTGCAGGGGGTGGGAAGATGCTCAAGCTGTGGGGTGAGGTGATGCAGGGGTTGCGGGGGTGAAGATGCTCAGACTGGGGGGGCAGGTGATGCAGGGGCTGGGGGTGATGCACCGGCTCGGGGGGAAGATGCTCGGGGGGGGGAGGAGATGCAGGGGCTGGGGGCAAGCTGCAGGGAGTGGTACTGGGAGGGGGGTTGTTCTCACTGCTAGGCCCGGCCCTGCCTGACTCCGGCTCTCTCTGCCCCAGGACAGGACCCCCGTCTCCTCCCCCGAGCGAGCTGCTCCCCACCACCCCTCCTTGGCGTTCCTGGCAGCGGCTGCGGGACCCTCCTCTGTGGACTTTGCCCCGGACGCCTATGAGGCTGCGGGTGGCCCTGCTGGGATGTTTCAACGCTGGAGCAACGAGGTGCCGGCCGGCTCCGGGCTGAGTGCCCACGCCATGGCCTTTGGGCTGCCCAAGGCGCAGTACCCCGGGCACGTCGCCCCGGGCTCTCCCCTGACCCCACCGGCCGAGCACACCTACTCCTTCGAGCTGTCGCCGGTCAAGGTCCTGGCTCCCCAGGGGCCGCCCGGCTCTTCCTACCACTTCCCTGAGGCTCAGGACTTCCCCAGCTTCTTGGAGAGCTCTGGCGGCATGGCCCCCCGGCCCCTGGGCCCCGGCCCCCCCAATGCCCCAGCGGGTCCCGCGGAAGATGCCCCCTGGTGGAGCCTGCAGCAGCCCACCCCGGGCAACCTGCCTGCCTTCCACCTGAGCCGGCCCCTGATGCTGGGGCCACAGCCCCCGCTCCCAGCCCTGCTACACGGCTCCCCCAAGGGGCTGCTGGGCCCGGCCCGGCGCTGCCGCCGCTGCAAGTGCCCCAACTGCCAGGCGGGCGCCGAGGAACCGGGCAAGAAGAAACAGCACCTGTGCCACTTGCCGGGCTGCGGGAAGGTCTACGGCAAGACGTCCCACCTGAAGGCCCACCTGCGCTGGCACGCGGGCGAGCGCCCCTTCGTCTGCACCTGGCTGTACTGCGGGAAGAGCTTCACCCGCTCGGACGAGCTGCAGCGTCACCTGCGGACTCACACGGGCGAGAAGCGCTTCGGGTGCCAGGGCTGCGGGAAGCGTTTCATGCGCAGCGACCACCTGGCCAAGCACATCAAGACCCATCAGGGCAAGCGGGTCAAGGGCGGCGGGGCCCAGTTGGGCGCCATCAAGCAGGAGTGAGGGGGCGGCGGACGGTGGGGGGGGCACGGGGAGGGCCGGCGCGGCTGCTATTGGGGACAGACCTGCGGGGGGAGGGAAACTGAGGCACACGCTCCTGGTCCCACATACGAACACTCCCATGTTGTGCGCACGCACCTGGAGACACACGGCCGAGGCAGAGCAGGTCCAGCCTGGGATCTGCGGGAAAGGTCCCAAATCCGGCCGCTCAGGCCAACTGGGAATGTTCGAAATATCCCACGTGGCCCTGATCACGTGGCCCAAAGCGCTTGGTTCCTCCAGGGTGGACCCTAGCGTCTCCACGGTGCCGGGCGGGTTTTCCCCGGGCGGCCTGCGGCACAGCCAGGGCCATCCCTCTCCACCGGAAACTTTGAGACAGAAGCCGTGAGACGGTTGGAGTTTGGCATTTCCCGACAGAAAACATCGCCTTGGGAAAGCTTTGGGTCGAAGACACACACACACACCCAAGCACCTGGACATCTGCAGAGACGCCCCCCCCCAGAGCACCCTGGCCACCCACAGAGATGCCCCCCCCGAACCACCCCGGCCACACACAGAGCCGTGCCCCCAGATACCTGCGGAGACGCCACCCCCGGAGCACCCCGGACACTCGTGGAGATGCCTCCCCCAGAGTGCCCCCAGCCACCTGCGGAGATGCCCCCCCAGAGCGCCTGACTGCAGAGAGGCCCCCCAGGAGTCTCAAATTTGCACAGCGCGTTCCCTCTGGAAAAGCCAGTCCTTGTGACCCAGGGGTGTGTGGGGACCCCCCGCCCCGGGCCTCCTCCCTCATTTATCTTCAGCAGGAACAATGGAGCAGCCAGTCCTGGGGCCGGCTGCATGGGGGGGGCAAGGGAGGTTGGAAG